GAGTCACCCCAATCCAGCAGGAGTGAAGGCAAGCATCCCAGGCAATCCCTGGGTGATGAGGCATCACCTGCAGGAGACAATTGCAATGGCTGGCCCCTCAAGGAAACAGAGCTGCAGCGAGCAGCTTTTGTGGCCGGCATGGGCAGCTGGTTCCTGGTTGCAGGTGGGGCACACACCTCTGGGGAGTCTGGGCCCGGGATCATGGGGTTGCATCCATAGGGGCCCCTGGGTCTGGTGTTCGAGGGCGATCCTGGGAGGACTCTGGTGTCAGGGGCGGGATCCTTTGTAGTATGGTGCTTTTTACTCTTGGAGACAGTGGTCATGGTGCCCAAAGGCCCCTCTCCCAGTGAGGTGGGTCTTTTCCTCAAGGTCCTTGTCCATTTGGATGATCCCTCGGCAGGAAGTTTGTCAGCCTCCAAGGGACTGACATTCATGAGGACTCTTTGCCAGAGTGTCAGTCGGAGGCAGGTGACCCTCTGCCTGTGTGTCTGCTTCTTAAAGACCAGGCAGTGGAGGCAAGTCTTGATGAGGGAGAGGAGGCACTTGAAGTGGCCATCCGCAGTGGGAAGCCAGGCCACACAGAAGGAGCAGTGGTGACAATGCAACTCAAAGTGCAGTCGAAGAAAAAACTGAGGGACTAGGTGGGAGCCCCCCCCCACTTTTATCCTGCCTTGGATGATGGTGGGGTGGGGCTCCCACCCATTCTGTGACACCAAGCTATTGAAGTTTTTCTCCAATCGAGGCATTGCGCTCCATGGCAAAGCCCATATGTGTGACGTACAGAGACCACAAAGAAGAACTTGGGGTTGTTGGAGATCACAAGCTAAACATGAGCCAACAATGCTATTTTGGACTGCATTAACAGAAGCATCCAAAACATGTGAAGTACTAGTTCCACTATACTCAGTACTACTCAAACCTTACCTGGAATACTGTATCCAGTTCTGGGCACTTAAGTTTTTAAAAGATACAGAAAAGCTAGAAAGGGTGCAGAGCAGGGTAATGAGGATGATTCAGGGACTGGTGACAAAGCCCTGTGAAAAAAGACTAGGAGAACTGGGCATGTTCAGCTTCAGGTAGAGAAGACTGTGGGGGATATGATAGTACTCTACAAACACCTGAAAGTACTGTCACAAAGAGGAAGGACAAGATCTCTTCCTATCTAGAGAGCAGGACATGGACTAACTGACTTAAGTTAAAAGAAACCAGACACTAGGAAGAATTTCCTGATTGTCAGAGCAGTATGGCAATGGGAGCTATTACCTGGGGAAGTTGTGGGTTCTCCCTTGCTGGAGAGATTCAGAAATGGTTTGGGCAGTCATCTAAATGGGATGGTATAACTTAGCGTCCTGCAATAGCAGGGAGCTGGACCCAATGGCCTTCTGGTCCCTTCAAACACCACTATTTTTGATTCTATGATTTTAATGCTTCCCTTACTCATATATTTGGCAGTGCCCGATAGCTGCTTCCTTCAAAAAGAGGTAATAATTCAAACACATTCTTTCATATTTACAGATACACATGTTATTCTAGCTGCCTACTTCTTTGAATTTAACAAAAGGTCAACATAAATGGATTTTCCATACCCTTTTGACAGCTGAAAGAATAATGGAGTACTACAACACTGAAAAATAAATGGTCATGTGCAATAACACAATGGATAGAGTACTTGATGAACCATTCAATTTCAAATGAGTGGTTTTCAGCTATAAATTACAAATGGAACAATATAGGGATACTCGGGCTGCCTTTTTTTTTTTTTGAAGTTTATGCATAACTATCTTCAATAGGAGTACAGTGGTACCTTGGCTCATGAACTTAATCTGTTCCAGGACTCTGGTCATGACCCAAATTGGTCATGAGCCAAGTTAAGTTTCTCCATAAGGTTCAATATAAATAAGGTTAATCCATTCTGTAACCATTTTTTAAATCAGAAAAATGTGAAGCAAAGTGACAACAACAAAGATCGCGGCCGTTTCCTCCCCCACACCCCGAGCACAAGCGTGACCATCTCCCCACCCATCCCCCCAGCACGACCGAGATCATGCCTGTCATCCCGGCACGCGCCCGTCATCCCGGCACGCTGGGGGGTGGGGGGGGAGAGATGGGCGTGATTGCAGGCGCACTGGGGGAGGAAGAGACAGGCACAAATGGCGCACTAGGGGAGGGAGAGATGGGCACGATCTCAGCCATCTCCCCCCCCACCCCCAGTACGATCGCAGCCATCTTCCCACTCGGGGGTGGGGAGATGGCCGTGATCTGCTGGTTGTGGGTGGGGGAATGGCCGAGATGGTGCCTGTCTTTCCTGCAGGAGCATACCTGTGATCACACATGCCTTCCCTGCATGAAAGCAACTGCGATTGTGGCCATCTCTCCACTCGGTGGGGTGTGGGGAGATGAGTTTAAGATTCACCAAAAAAGTTTGAAAAATGTAAGTTTCATGGGGTTAATTCTAACCTCAGTCACAATAATAATGATACAGTACTAAAGATTTCAACAGTATTAATACTCCTTAACACTGTAACACAGAAACTTTCTCCTAACTCAAAGAGGAAACAATTTGAAAAGGGAGATAATCAATTGTGCTATGCAAAATCATCCTAATGATGATTTGGATCATTCCAAAATCATCTGGAAAAGCAGGCATTGCAGACTTTAGTATCTTTTCTTGTTAATAATATAGCTAGGTATATTTGGATATAGTAACATATTGCTCCATCATGCTTGGAAGTATAATTGGGCATCATACAAATATGAAGAAGCCAGTGAGGCAATCTGCAAACACTGCCTTCCCAATCTGCTGATTCTGGTCCACCAGGTTGAGCTGGGCCCCTCTTCCTCTCACAAAGAACATTCCAATAATCTGCCTCTGAGCAGGTAAGGAAGATGCAAGTGAAGGGAACTGCAATCACCACTTTCTTGAGCAGCTGTTGATTCACTGACCATCTCTGGGTTTTTTGTTACAACTTCCCACCCACAATGCTATAAATATCCAATTGTAGCTTTCGTAGTCATATAGACTATAAGGCTATATATTATAGGTAAATTGAACAGAAGACACTTTTCCTCAAAAGTACACTTTCAGTGCTTGCTAATGTATTGAGCTGGCATTGTCTTAGCACTTCCTGAATTTCTGCATTAAATAATACTGCTACAGTATTAGTATCAAGCTACAATTTGTAGCATTCATACTTGGAATTCAGTTGCATTGAAATCAATAGTTCATTTGTCCTAATATGAGACCATTGTAGGACCATGGTTCTAATTGGGACCATGATGAAAAGAACAAATACTTTATTAGCATTTCCTACTAGCTACTGAAAGGATTCACTAGATTCACTTGATTGTAACAGCCTTGACTGAAAGCCATCTGGAGGTGAGTTTCAATAGCTTCTGGGTGATCATTGATTCATCATGTTTAAGAGCGATCACATCTGGTTCTGGTAAAGCATGTTTACTTGGTATGTTGTGGTTGCTGATGGATAAATTATTTGTTGACCAAGAATGTTAGGGTTGTGTTTTGACTGGATTTAAGAGCCAGAATGTGCTTCAGTGATGACACCACCATTATTATAATTATGTCTGCCATTGAAGTCATTATGGTAAGATGATCTGAGAAGTGGAGAGGGAGGAGTCACTGTGGGCAATGGGCCTTTCTACAAGTCCACTGCATCCTCTAACCTGGTAGTGCTGTTGTATAATATCAGATCAGTGCATAAGACTTTGCTTGTCCATTGAGTCCATTACAGATGACACAGTAGAATAGGTAAGCTGGACAAAGTTGATCTGACCCAGCATCGCCCACTGGGCACTCAGTGTTATATTGGCACAAGTTAAAGGATTGTGGGGCACTGGGGGACAGCAGTTTTGCCACAACCCATTTCCCTTACCCAGAAACCCTGCAGATAAACCTCCATCTGATATTGGATCAAAGATAGAGTATTACTGGTATACTGCTCACTCTGCTCCTCAGAAGCCTTGCTTACCAAACTGACAGATCAGATCTCTGGCCTGAAGCCAGATAGTGATCCTAGGGAATACTAGGTTCATACCAAGTATAACTCTAGTGGACCAGTCTTGAACTTCATGACCTCCATGACAACAAAGTAATGTAGTGATTAACAGTGTGAGGCTAGGACTCAGGAGATTTGGGTTCTAGTCCCCAGTCAGCCATGATCCTCCTCACAGTGAACTTGACACTGTCATTGTGATAGATCTGAGGTCTCCAATGCTGCATCCAGCTCAGTTGTTTGGGATCAATTTCAGTTCATATGTATTGAGAATATGGACAATGAGTTTGTAGTAATGCATCCAGCCAAAAGCACACTTAATTCTTGCTCTCATGACTGATTAAGGGTATCTGAAGAGGAATGACCAGATGGTTCTAGGCTGTGGTAAAGATTTCTTAATATGGGAGGTGGTGTCTACTTCCCTTAAGAACTCAAGCCTGAACTCAATGGTTCTTGCAAATTACTGTCTGGCTGCAAGGGTCCCTTCTTTGGAGAAAAGTCTGGACAGGGTTGTATCCTTGCAACTGCAATTTGTGGATGATATAGGTTACCTAGACCCATTTCAGTCTGGGTTAATAAATACTGTAAATTAAATTAACAATCTATTGTTTAACTAAAACGGTATTCATTTCATGAGATAACCTAATAATACATAGTACATTTTATGTCTGAAAAGTAAGTTCACATCTGATAAAAAATTAAGATGATATCTTTCCATTTCGCCTTGTTTCCCCTCTCCACCCCATGGCTTCAAACTCTTTGGAAATTTTATATCTGTAGCACACCCTTCTTTGCCAGAATGATTTCCTGGATTGTGCATCTCTACCTGCTTGAATGAAGCAGAGAGAAAAAAAACATGGCAAGGTCATCAGACTTTATGGAATATCCAGAATATATGTGTGTCAAAGTTAGTAGTCCCTCCTTCACAAATACTTGCAATTAATTAAAGCAAATACCCTTTTCATCAAAGGAAATACTTCCCATACATACCTTTTCAAAGCTTTTGAGTTTGATTTCATACTGTAGCTCTGCATCTGGAGGAATATGGAACTTCTGTTTCCCAGCACTTCCAAAACCATAGCTGTGAAACAAATTAGAAGATTTTAAGAATCAAATCACCTTATTCTTTCTCACATGAACTTCAGTCATGTAATGGCATCATACAATCCACCATTCAACAGAAATCTCCTAATAAATTAATTTATAGATGAGGGCTTCCATGGATATGCCCAACCCCCAAGGTTGGGCCCATCTGGACAAGACAGCAATGGAAAAAACAGACTGAGCTTCATTCACTCAAATAAGGGGTGAACCAGGATTGCCTCAAGGCAAGGGGATATACCTGGGTTTGAGATACACCACAGACTCTTCCAACTTCTCCATTTTCTGCAGTGCTTTGTCCACGCCTGGAGGAAGGTCATAGTTTTCTCCCTCTCCTACTTCAAATCGCAGCTCCCGTTTGTCAAATACTCTGTCTCCATGCCAACCTTCTACCTCAACTGGTACAAAAAAGTAGCAAATTTAGATGGGTTTGCTGAGGTTGTGAATTATGAACCACTGTCAACACTGCAATGCACTGTATCAATAATAGCACTCTATCATTATCTAGCATGGTATGAGAGCAGATGGGGTTTGTAGCACACTTTCTCCCACTGGGTCATGACAATCTCAAGAAACATAGAGTTAAGAAATATTCAAGGTATCGCCCAACATGCACTGGGAGACATAAATTACATTTTTAAGTTCATAGAACTATATATCAGATGTAAAAAGAAGGTTAATTCCATAGTTTAGAATGTGTGTGAGTAAGATCTTATTCTGAACATTAGGGAGAACTGGTTATTGGGCAGCAGAGATCAGCTGCTTGTGAGAAATGTCTACATGGGACTTAAATTAGCTATCCACACAACAAAGTATCATATTTCTGATAGTAGTGAATAAATGATGTTCCCTTGGAGCAAACCAAGGGCAATTAGGAAAAAATCAACCTTTTTTCATTCATTCACAGCTTCTAGAATTTGCCTGTTCAGAATCACTATGACTGCATTGCTAGTTATCTGGTTAACAGCAATTGATAGCCCAATCAAAAATAGATGAGCTTTTCTGAATTTGGGATGAAGACCTTTATAACAACAGAAGTCACAGTTTCTCTACACATTCAGCTTTCTCATTGTTTTGTTACTCAAATGCAAGCATGCATAAATTCAAAACTAATTCTGGTAGAGCCATCAGTCCCTTCCTATGCTTCTGACAGGTTTCCTATCTCCTTCTGCTTTGTGTCCACCCTGAAGCTATCACAAGAGACAGAAGGCCAATCAAGCAAGGAAAGGGATAGCAAAGTTTGCAACAAAAGGAGAAGAGTGCTAGTTGTGGGAGATTCCCTCTTGCGTGGGATGGAAAGATATGTATGCCGTGATGACCAGAGAATTGCCAAGTATGCTGCCTTACTGGTGCAAGTTTAAAGATATAATCAACAAGTTCACACAACTCATATGAACCACTGACAGGTACCCCTTCCTCCGCTTCCACATGGGAACTAATGACACTGCCATGAGAAGCTTTGCTGAAATAACATCAGACTTCAAAGCATTAAGAAGGAAAAAAAATGCTGGGGCCCAGATAGTCTTCTCAACCCTACCAGTATGTGGAAGAGAAAGTCTTAGGGAAAGAAAAATCCTTCAGGTGAAGGACTGGGTGCAATCGTGGTGATGTAAAGAGAGATTTGGATTCTGCGACCACAAGCTAAGCTTCCTGGAAGATGGACTACTGGCAACAGATGGGCTACACCTCACGAAGAACGGGAAGCAGATGTTTGGCCACTACATGAAAAAAAAATCATGAGGTGAGCTTTAAACTGAAACCGATAGGGGAGGGAAATGTGCAGCATGGCATACCATTACCTGGTCTCATCTGCTATATGAGAATATTTCAACAGAGATAAAAACCTCAAGCGGGGCCAACACAGGTCTCCCAAAAAAACACAGAAAGAAAACCAGGGCACAGTGAGAATGAACTTCGATCATGAGGGACTTCAATTTCCCTGATACTTGCTGGCAGACAAATTCTGCCAAGCATGCCCCTCCAAGAGATTCCTGACATGCGTTGTCGACAACTTTCTCCAGCAGATATTAGAGGAAGATCCAAGACGATCAGCTATCCTCGATTTAATACTAACAGGGATGGCCTGGTGGACAAAATAACAACCAGGGGAACTCTGGGGGAAAGTGACCATGCGATACTTGAATCAGACTTTAGCAAAGCTTTCGACATAGTGCCACATGACATTCTGATGAGCAAATTAGAAAAAGTGGTCTAGATGGAAAAACAGTGATGTGTATCCAAAATTGGTTGCTGAATTGGACACAAACAATGCTCATCAATGGCATCTTCTCAAATTGGATGGAGGTAACTAGTGGGGTGGCACAGGGTTCAGTCCTGGGCCCACTCTCTTCAACATCTTCATTAATGAGGAAGTACAAGGAAGGATCGTCAGATATGCAGATGATGCAAAACTGGGTGGAATAGCAAACACCCTAGGAAACAGAATGAAGATCCAGGGCGATCCTGATGAACTTGAACACTGGGCTGAAAGCAACAGAATGAGATTCAGTCAGGACAAGTGCCAAGTCCTCCACCAAGGAAAAAGAAACCAAATGCACTGATTCAAGATGGGGAATACGTGGCTCAACAGAACTGAAAAAGAAAAAGATCTCGGCATAACTGTGGACAATAGGCGACATATAAGCTAACAATATAATGCCACTGCCAAAAGGGAAAATGCTATTTTGGGATGCATTAACGGAAATGTTACCTTCAAATCACGAGAAGTAGTAGTTCCTCTATATTCCTCCCTAGTCAGACCTCACTGCAAATCCAGTTCTGGGCACCAAGATTTAAGAAAGCTGCAGGAAAAGTAGAAAGAGTCCAGCGGAGGGCAACAAATATGATCCAGGGTTTGGACTCACTGCCCTATGAGGAGAGACTGAGAGAACTGGGCATGTTCAGCCTTGAGAAGAGAAGGCTGAGGGGGGACATGATACCCCTGTATAAGTACCTCAAAGGCTGTCACAAAGAGGAAGGTCAAGATCTCTTCTTGCTGATGCCAGAGTGTAGGACACGGAATAATCAGTTGAAGTTGCAAAAACCCAGATTCAGGCTGGATATCAGGAAAAATTTCTTCAATCTCACAGCAAGATGACAGTGGAACCAGCTGCCTAGTGGTGTGGTGGACTCTCCCACACTAGAGACATTCAAAAAGAAACTGGACAGCCATCTTCGTGGGATGGTGTAACTTGGTGTCCTGCAATATTTCCCCTCATGGCCCATTTCCCCTCATGGCCCCTTCCAACTCTACCATTCTATGATTCTGTGATCCACCTTCTCCCCAGCTGTGCAGAGTTTAAAAAGCATCTCTCAGCGTTACGGCAGTCCCTCTTACTTGTATATGTGTCTGAGACAGAAGGCTATTTTGATCCCTCCCTTTACAAGCCTGCATAAATGAGCGAAGCATCTTCTTTCCCTTCATCTCTGCAACAGAGAAATGACTTGGGAAAGAGATGTGCAAGAGCCTAATCCTCCCAGCTCACACTTGGCTCAATAAGGAAAAAGTATGATGTCTGCTATCAGGCACATTCACAAAGAAAAAAAAGCCATGTGTGTGGCTAGTGAATGTTTTTAGATTTGCCCAGGTGGAAGAAAAGGAAACAGAAGCTTTGGCAACTGATGCATAGGCTAGTCCAAGATACATAGCCACCTGAAAAATACAAGAAGGCTCAATACTGATGACTGAACCAGTTTGCAGGTTGTCAGCTCTTTCATCACAGCAGCTGCAAAAAAAACCTGTTATGAGTCCTATTTTCATACAGTTGCAACAGTGTGAGTTTTTTCTAAAAAAAAAAAAAAAAAAAGGAGGGTTAGCTTTCTGATATTACAATGTCTGAAAATTAAGATTAATCCTGCCAGTCTGAAAAATGGCACACAGAGACTTGCCTGGTGAAAGATATTCTCTAGCCAAGTTTCAAAAAAAAATCTGACTAAGAACAACAGAAATAAAGCAGTTTAAACATTTTGCTTCATGATTCATGGTGTTTCTGTGTTGTTTGACAAATAAAAAATGCCAGGATAGAGCCTCTTCCCAAAAGGTTAAAAAAAACCCCCACAATTGCTAGATAACCAGCTACTGCAGATGATGTCATTAGGTGAAGAAAGGATGAGATAGTACTGTGCATGTAAAGAGCTGTATGCAAGGGAGTTCAAGGAAATTCACATCATCTCTGTCTATCTCTGTTTATCTCTGTCTACATACTTTTTCTGTGAAATGTGTGTATGTTCAATTGTAATCCTTATTGTGACCATCTGCAGAGTGAGGTTTGGATCTCTGTATAGTTATCTTAACTGTATGTGCTCTAAGATCACCATCACAAGTTCACTGGATCTGTTGTTCACAATAAAATCACCAGATTGCACTGCAGAAGCCACCCTGTTTCAGCTTAAAAGACACCCTTTGGAGGCAATTTAGAAATAACAGTGAAGTAATTGCCTATTATACTTATCGAATTACTAGGCACTATAGTGGACCCTTTGTTGTTGTTAGTGCAATAGGTAACTATGGAAATAACAAAAACCGAGATAATGTGGAGATAATAATAAAATAGCCTAGCTGATGTGCAATTATGGAGTTAATAATATTAACTCAAATTAAATTTCAAAATTCTAAAGGTCAATGATATTTAAGATAGAGATCTTGAGACTGTAGTAGATAGCTCAATGAAAGCAGTGACCCAGCATAGCTTCAATTAAAAAGCCACTTCTTGCAAAAAATACTGTAGCTGATAAAAGTGTATAAAAGTAAAATTGAAGTAATCAGGGGGCTAGAACAACAACAACAACAAAAATGCATAATATTTGGGGCTTTTTAGTTTAGAAAAAAGGTAATTACACAGAGCACATGAAAGAGTATAATATTATGCATGTTTTCTCCCACTCTCTAAATACTAGCAACTGTCATCATCCAATGAAGCTAAACAGTAGAAGAAAGACAAAAGGTGGTACTTCTTTAGCTAACACATAAACTATAGAATTTACTACCACAAAATGGCCACAAACTTAAATAGTTTTAAAAGGTGAAACAAATTCAGGAAGGATGAAGCTAATGGGTACCTATGATGATGGGTACATGCTATCTCCAAAAACAATGCCAGTGTAATGCTAGTTGCTCAGAAACAACAGCAGAAGATAGCTATTGTTCTTATATCCTCTTTGCGGGCTTCCCGCAGGCATCTGGTTGGTCACTGTAAGAAACAGGGTGCTGACCCCAATCTGATCCAGCAACATTCTTCTTCTACTTTTAAGGAGGGAAGGGAATTTACTGTGGGGGAAGGGGCTGTGGTTAAGAAATGTGCATTCCTCAATTGCAGTTCGAAGGCAGAATTACACCTGCAACAGTTCACTGGGATCTAGATACATATCCTTCCCCTTCTAGCATCTCCCTAGTGATAGTCTTCATAGTTCTTCAAATACTTACTCTCTACAAGGGCCCCCTCATTGGGTTTGGAGTAGCCTTCTCCTTTCTTACGGATTCTTCGAATTATTCCACCATCTTCATCATCTGTGAGGTCTTTCCCCTTGAACTCAAACAGCTCTACCTAGAGGAAACAATTGAACAATACCAATTTGGATTTGATCCTTACGAAACCATGCTAACATTCTAGAGGGCTGGAATGAAGAGTGGCACATGATGCACCTTTCTAAGACCACAATCCTATGCAGGTGTGAACACAGAAAAGACCTCTATACTGGGGCATGTCAGGAGTTGTAGGCCATTTTTTCCTGCCAAAATAGGACTGCACCTTAAAGATCTTCTCTGCTAAGTTGTCCAACATTACCTAAAATTCAAAAAGCCATCCACTGAAACTTAAAAAGAAAAAAGGATTTTTCAATTTTAAACTGTCAGTCTGAACACTTATGACACCAAACAAATTAACATTAAAACAAAAATTGAACAAAGAAAAAATAAAATTAGGGTGCAATCCAGTTCAAATTCCTATAACCCTCCAAACTTAGAGGATCACAGGCACAATGAACTGCATTCCTGCCATGTTACAGAAAACTCAGATAACCAATTTCAGCTGTCTTAGGTGTGGTACTTCACACACTGGAATGTGTCACACACCAAAGCAATGTCAGGATATTTTCTGTCTCAGCAGGATATTTACCAGTCTCCTCCCTTCCACTCAATCCCTTCTCCAAGGTTGCTTTTGCAACCTGAGAAGTAGCCAGCTGTGAGGTGGGGTGTATGCGCTGAGGCTGGAGCTCCTAGGTAGATTTCTAGCAGCCATAAAAAGCAGTGCCCATTATTAAAAAAGCATTCCCACTAAAATAGTACCATCAAAATAGTAGTCAGGTAATACAATGGTAGACTTAGGAAAATGCTCTTTCTCTCATATGGGTTTCCCTCCACCACCATTGCCAAGATCAACTAAGGCACTCTTCTTCTCTTCTTTACTTCATGAAAAGGGACAGCCCTGGTAATTTTTTTTGTCTGGCATGTGAGATAAAGGTAAGGCTTTACTAGGCTGTAATCTGTATCAGAAATGTGTTACTGACAAAGGTAAACAGGAGAAATTATTTCTCCAAATTATAGTTTCATAGCTAAAACCTTATTTTAAGTAATGCTCATGGTTCTTCTGCATATTTTTTCAGATATCACAATCCCAAGTACAGTGGTACCTTGGTTCAAGAACTTAATCCATTCCACGACTCTGGCCATGACCCAAACTGGTTGTGAGCCAAGTCAAATTTCCCCATAGGGTTCAATGTAAATAAACACATCCGCGATCATCACCTGATGTGGAGTTCACGACCTGAGGAAAAATTTATCCTAAGTTTCTGTTCGTGACCTGATTTGGTCATGAACTGAAGCATTCGTGAGCCAAGGTACCACTGTATATACATACTTTTAAAGGGGTTTTTTTATATTTGGTTCATTCAAGCCATTTTCAGCAGTGTATTCAAGATTAATCTCTTGAATAACAGTCTGTCTGAAGCCTCTCTGCACCTGTGCCATTTTGTTTCTAAAGTTTTAGCATGTGTGAATATAAGTAATTTATATTTAAAAAACAACTTGAAAGGTCAACAGCCATTTTTCTATGCAAAATAATCTTCCATTCAACAAGAAATTGACCGTTTTAATATTTCATGCACACTGCACTATATATTAACAATCCTCACCGTGATGCCAAAAGCTTACTGGGGTTGGCACACATTCTTTGCGTGCCTTAACTCTTTCTTCTTGTTCCCTCTTACCTTCCTTCCAACCTCTGTTTCTCTCCTCCTTCCTATCCCACATCCCTCCTCTTCTTCCGGGCTTCTCTCCTACCCTATATTCCCCTGTTCCCCATACCCTGTCTTGTCCTTTCTCTCAACATCCTTTGCTAGACTTCTGTGTCCTCTGCACTCTGGTACCATATGTGTTTACAGAGGTGCTGCAGAGAACTATGAGCGTTATACTAAGGCACTAATGATTCAAGCTCACAAAGAAGTGCAAGGTTTTAAACCAAAAAAAATAGGGATAATTAAGCCTACATGGGTAGGCTTAATTTACTAAAATAGGGTAGTAAATTAAATTAAAAGGAATATAATTTGGAATTAAAAGGGACTGCAGGTGGTGCAGTGGTTTAAACCATTGTGCTGCTGGGCTGGTTGATTGAAAGGTCAGCGGTTCGAATCTGCACAATGGAGTGAGTTCCTGTTGCTCCGTCCCAGCTCCTGCCAACCTTGCATTCGAAAGCATGAAAATGCAAGTAGATAAAAAGGTACCACTTCGGTAGGCAGGTAACAGCGTTCCGTGCACTTCGGTGTTTAGTCATGCTGGCCACATGACCACGGAGACTATCTGTGGACAAACGCTGGCTCCCTCGGCTAGGAAAGCACCGCCCCCTAGCGTCAGGCATGACTGAACTTAATGTCAAGGGGAAACCTTTACCCTTACCTTTAATTTGGAATTTATTTGGGAGGTAATTTAAATTAACTATGACACTTTGCTACAATGTAAAGTAGTGAGTATACGGCTTATATAACAGTGTAAATTTGCTGTCCCCTCAAAATAACTCAACACACAGCCATTAATACCTAAACCGCTGGCAACAAAACTGAGTATACCCCTAAGTGAAACTGTCCAAATTGGGCATTATTAGCCATTTTCCCTCCCCGGTGTCATGTGACTCATTAGTGTTACAAGGTCTCAGGTGTGAAAGGGGAGCAGGTGTGTTAAATTTGGTGTTATCACTCTCACTCTCTCATACTGGTCACTGGAAGTTCAACATGGCACCTCATGGCAAAGAACTCTATGAGGATCTGAAAAAAAGAATTGTTGCTCTATATAAAGATGACCTAGGCTATAAGAAGATTGCCAAGACCCTGAAACTGAGCTGCAGCACGTTGGCCAAGACTATACAGTGGTTTAACAGGACAGGTTCCACTCAGAACAGGCCTCGCCATGGTCGACCAAAGAAGTTGAGTGCATGTGCTCAGCGTCATATCCAGAGGCTGGCTTTGGGAGATAAGACATATGAGTGCTGCCAGCATTGCTGCAGAGGTTGAAGGGATGGTGGGTCAGCCTGTCAGTGCTCAGACCATGCGCCGCACACTGCATCAAATTGGTCTGCAGGGCTGTCATCCCAAAAGGAAGCCTCTTCTAAAGATGTTGCACAAGAAAGCCTGCAAACAGTTTGCTGAAGACAAGCAGACTAAGGACATGGATTACTGGAACCATGTCCTGTGGTCTGATGAGACCAAGATAAACTTATTTGGTTCAGATGGTGTCAAGCGTGTGCAGCAACAACCAGGTGAGCAGTACAAAGACAGGTGTGTCTTGCCTACAGTCAAGCATGGTGGTGGGAGTGTCATGGTCTGGGGCTGCATGAGTGCTGCCGGCACTGGGGAGCTACAGTTCATTGAGGGAACCATGAATGCCAACATGTACTGTGACATACTGAAGCAGAGCATGATCCCCTCCCTTCGGAGACTGGGCCGCAGGGCAGTATTCCAACATGATAACGACCCCGAACACACCTCCAAGACGACCACTGCCTTGCTAAAGAAGCTGCGGGTAAAGGTGATGGACTGGCCAAGCATGTCTCCAGACCTAAACCCTATCAAGCATCTGTGGGGCATCCTGAAACGGAAGGTGGAGGAGCACAAGGTCTCTAACATCCACCAGCTCCGTGAATTCGTCATGGAGGAGTGGAAGAGGATTCCAGTGGCAACCTGTGAAGCTCTGGTGAACTCCATGCCCAAGAGGGTTAAGGCAGTGCTGGAAAATAATGGTGGCCACACAAAATAGTGACACTTTGGGCCTAATTTGGACAGTTTCACTTAGAGGTGTACTCAACTTTTGTTGCCAGCGATTTAGACATTAATGGCTGTGTATTGAGTTATTTTGAGGGGACAGCAAATTTACAGTTATACAAGCTGTATACTCACTACTTTACATTGTAGCAAAGTGTCATTTCTTCAGGGTTGTCACATGAAAAAATATAATAAAATATTTACAAAATGTGAGGGGTGTACTCACTTCTGTGATATACTGTATATTTATAGCATATTTCAAGAGTTCCCAGTGCTTCATGTATACCGTACAACAATCCTGTAATGCAGGTCAGGGTTTACATTGCTAACATTCAGGGAGACAGTCAAGTACTGGATATGGCCACTGCAACTCCACTGATTCCACTGAGCTTATGTGATCCATTGTGAAGGGCTACAGGAATTAGTGTTTCTGAAAGAAACATTTCCAGAACAAGACAAGTCAGGGGAACTCCCTTCTGTGAGTTCCTCTGACGTGTGCTATTCAGGAAATGAACACTAATATTTGCTTCTGATTGCTTCAGGTACTGCTAAGTCCTACTAGCATGCAAGAAGTGTTGGATACTAACCACTGACACCTCTCTTCCTGTTTGTGTGTACTTAAGAATGTACAGTTTAGGGAAATTACTCAGGTATTGGGAAAAATACCTAAGAAGGTAAACTTGCAGATTTGGATCTAGATTTAGTCATACTTAAATTTGTTATCTGGATCCAACCCACAGGTTGAAGAGAGATAATCTATTCATTTTGGATAATGAACAGAGATTTACCATTTATTAATTTTATTAATGCTTATGGTGCTTAATCTGAAAAATGATAGCAAACAATTGAATCCATTGATTTATTTTGATTCCCCAACCCTTGATGCCTAATTTCAAAATTAAGAAAACAGCAGCATTAGAATCTCAGTTTTTAGGTTTTTTCTAATGGTTGCAAAGATAGCTTGAAAATATTATTATTATTATTATTATTATTATTATTAAATATGGAAGAGACCTCTGAAGCAAAGGTGATCATGGAGCTGTTTAGCCCTGTGCCTTGCCCTGTAAATTAGGACAAATAATGCAGACTCAGTAAAATATGAAAACTTGCAGAATTAATATGTAGAGGCTCAATACAGGACAAAGGGGAGAATTGAAGGTCTGTTTCCTCCCATTGCCCTTGGCTCCTCCACCCACTGTGTTATTGCAAATCTGCACTATTCTTGCACAATATGTCTTTTCACTCAGCTCCCTTATGTAGCCCAATACACTTCAAACTTTGGGCTGCTTTGGCCTGCCCAGTAACATGCCCTGACTGAGGTACAGGGATTCCTGGAATCTGTTCTATTTGGCACAAACTGCTTAGCTTTAGCTTAAAATGTGGAGCTGGTGCAGATGGTAACTGCTCTGCTTCTGATGCAGATGCATGAACTCCACCCCAAACTTACCTCAAAGATTAGTGTAGCATTGGGAGGTATCTTGGGGGGGGCTGCCAGCAGAGCCATATGCATATTCAGGCTTGCAGATAATTTGACAAAGTTCCCCTATTTTCATAGTTCCCACAGCGATATCCCATGCTTTGATAACTTCACCTAAATAACAACAACAGAATTTGGCCACATTACTAAAAATGAACAACTCTGCTGTCTTCAGGGTGGACTGATAAAACAGCAAGAAAAATATCAAATAATTTAATATTGATTTAAATCAAGTGTCCCACTGAAACTCTTTCATATATTTTCTGAACAAACCTGACTAGTAATTTTCTTGATAATGTAATACAGTTTTACACATTTCATTCTTCTAAGCAGTCTTCACATTTTTGCCACACTGTGTGTATTTTGCATATTTCCTTTTTTACTCATTGAAGGAATGCCTTTAAAATATTCCCATATAGGGTTTCTCTTAAGACCAGCATGCATGACAGTTGGAGGTTAAGAGCACAATGCTATACATCACCTCAGAAAAGTTCCACTGACTTCAGAGAGACAAACTCCCAGGTATGTAGCTACAAGTTTGCAACTTCACTGTGGGAGAAAAGGAGGATGCACACTGGGCATTTTATTTCTTTTTCTTTCCAGTATTGCTTCTTCCTGCTCTACTCTGTTTTGCTCCAGCCATGATCTCCCAAAATTGAAGTAGGATGCAAAAATGAAATATCTATGACTAATATATCAAAGGAAGTGTGGTAATTAACAGGCAGACAAAATCCACTGTAAATTCTGCTGTATTGTCTGTCTTAACTACCTTCTCTGCCTTCTGTAGTCCAACTCCAGCACCATACAGAAAAACAGCAATCCTATATAGAGTGTGTCATGCAACTTTAATCTAAGAAACTGAAAAACCTGATCTTCCAATAAAAGAGCTAGCAATTAGGCTGGAAAGTTATTTTTATGAGATAAAAACTGAAATTAATGTCCATATTTGATTGGTAGGTAGCTTTATTTTTATAGGACTGTAACATGTTTAGCACCCTTATGATGAGATGTAATTGTAATATTATGTTTAAGTGTGGGAAAATTAACTATCGTATGCATTTTAATAAAAATTGATTATATTTTAAAGTATAATTTAAATTTGCAAAATCCATTAAGTTGTTTTGTTGGTTCAAAACACCGATTTTTATTCACCCTTGTTGTCATCCATATCAATAGTCATTCACTCGTATGCTCAAAACGTAAAGTTGCTGTAGGGTCAGGTCCAAAACTATGTCACAAACGTCAAGGTCCAGGCCTTCTCCTGGTAATGAGTATCCTTTCTAGGAATGCCGATGGAAGATTCCAAGAATTACTTCCTTCTTGTCAAAGGAGTACAGGTGAAAATGAATATCACAACAGGAACAAGCAACCCTACATGTTTCAGATCTTTTAGACAACAGCTGCCAGCCAGCAAAACTAATTGTTTGGTATTACGGGACCTGTAGTCTGAAACATCGGTTTGCCTTGCCCTGCTTTAAAAGAATGATTATGATCATTATTTTTGTTATTATATGCTCTCAAGTTGCCTCTGACTTATGGCAACCCTATGAATGAATGCCCTCCAAAATGTCCTATTCCTGACAGCCCTACTCATTACATTGCATTTATGTCCCACTCTTTTTTCCTCCCTCAAAGAACCCAAGGCAGCTTACATAGTCTTCCTCCACTCCATTTTAGACTCATAACAACCCCATGAGGCAGGTCAGATTGGCCCAAAGTCACCCAGTGAGCTTCATGGCAGAGTGGTCACCAGAACCTGGATTCTCTAAGTCTCTAATACAACACTAACCATTATACCACATTGGCTCTCAATACTTGTGGCATATACTCTACAGACCAGAAATTTCAAGTCCAGATGTACTAGTGCAGTCATACAAACAAGAACAGAATACTGGAATTCACAGTGAGTATTTCTTGCATTTGGAAATAGGACATCCTACTGATACTCAAATGTCGAGTCTCCATCCTTTTATAGCAGTGAGCTTGAGTGGGTATTTCTTCCTTTCCTGAAAAGCCATTTTCCTGCTCCCTGTAGCTCCCCTCATTGCTTTTCCTGTAGACAGGGTTCTAGAAGTGTGTTTGAGGGAATAAATAACACATTAAAGGAAATCTTGTGAAGGAAAGAAGCTAGGAGGAGAATCTGGAGCACAAAACTGATGATGGGTAAGAGTTAAGTAGCTGACTACTTCTACACTCAAAATAGTCCCCACCTAAAGCTGTTCCACCTCATACATACATGAAAACAGGTGTGTGGCAGGGGAGATACAATGACAATGATACAAACTCTGTGACAAAATAAAACTTCAAAGAATCCCGAACATGACAGCATGTGGAAAAAATGGTATGAATAATATGTCCCACTGAAGACATTTAGGGTGCCAGCTGCCTCTAAAAGTGTTCAAGGAAAGCAAATAGCAGCAAGGAGGGAAGACAGTAAAACAGCAGCCATAGCAGGAACAGTAGAGAGAGAAAAGAAGTCTGCTGTGTTAAATGCAGGCTTAGAAGAGCTGGCTACTAGGTAGGACATACAAACCCTGCTATATGAAAGAGTTCAACGTAAGCCAGAACCAGACATTGTCTAAGCTGACTAAATCTTACAATGTTATCACTTTAAAGTACAGTGGTACCTTGGCTCACGAACTTAATCCATTCCAGGACTCTGGTCGTGACCCAAATTGGTCATGAGCCAAGCCAAATTTCCCCGTAAGGGTCAATGTAAATAAGGTTAATCCGTTCTGCAACTATGTTTTTAACTCACAAAAATCTGAAGCGAAGTGACAAAGAACAACAAAGATTGTGGCCATCTCCCCCCACCCAGAGATCGTGAGGGGGGATGGGGGAGATGGGTGCAATTGTGGACATGCTAGGAGGGAGGTGGGCGCGTGGGGGGGGAGGCAGGCATGGGCACGCTTGGGCAGGGAACATGGGCACAATCGCAGTCATCTCCCTCTCAGCATGAACGCAGCCATCTCCCCCCACCCTCCTCCAGCACAACAGTGATCGCACCCGTGCAGGGAAGGCAGGTGTGCTCACAATCATCACATGATGCAGAGTTTGCAACCTGCTGCAAAATTTTTATGAAATTTCTGTTCATGACCTGATTTGGTCATGAACTGAGGCGTTCGTGATCCGAGGTACCACTGTAACTGAGGAGCATTTAAATACCACTCTGCCACTGCCAGCAATCTTGTTCCAAGGTAGTTCATAGTAGCCAAAGCATAGGATATTATTCCAAATCTGATTACCTACAAAAGGCATTGGTAATAAGACTATGGACTTTAACAACTGCAATTTCCTAGCACTTTATAACTTCACCAAACATGAAAAGTCCTTCATGCAATGGCTCATTTACCCATAATAGCAACAGGAGGTAGTATCTAATACTATTCCCATGTTAGGGTGGGGTCACAGCTAATGTAATAGGAAGGTGGCAGGTCCTGCAGCAATCAGAAGTGAACAAAACATTCATTTCTAGAACAGGGCATATCAGAAGGGACTTCTCCTCATACATCTGTTTCTAAAAATGAGCGCGTTCTTGTTTCAGGGAAAATGAAATTAAATGAAACAAAGGTTTAAAAAGGATCATGGGTTGTACAGGGATTGAACCTATGTCCTTAGTATTACTGGCAGCACACATTCATCACCCTCTTAGGGGACCTCACTCCATGATATGATAGCACAGCTGGGTCCAGGCAACACAATCACCCACTGTTCCACATTCAACCTGTATTCCATTTTGGGAGCGGATTATTGTGTTGTGTGAACCCAGTCACTGTGGCTTGTGATTAGTTAACAAACCACACTGAGAAAACCATGCCAGATTTATACATCACAACAAGCCACCATGAAATGAACAATGCTGACAACTCATTATGGTTTGTTGTGTGATGTTGCTTCTATGAAGCTTTATCTGACGAATACAACATTAAATTATTTTCCATTGTTTTGAATACAGTGTGCTATATATTGTTTAAAAAATACTGTCAATGGACATGTTACTATGTGCCAGGCACAGAACATACTACCTTTCCCAAAGTCAAATGAGAACTTTTCCTTTCTGTCCCGACTTGAATCAAACTTTGTGCCATCTAGCAGCCAGCCAGTGTAGTGAACAGTCACTTTATCACCTATCATTGGAGATTCCGTCCCTATTCCTTCTTTCTTGATAATCTGTGAAGAAAGAACAAATCAGTTATTTACCTGAATTTCTAAGAAGCTATGCTTACCCAACAAGGCAATATTAAGTCTGTTAGATAAAAGCAATTTCACAGCTTTGGATAGGAATAATGGCACTTTTACTACTTATAGAATTTTATTCAGTCAGTAAAAATCTTAAAACTATACTCTGCTGTTTATGTATGTAACATTTAGGGCAAACCGTATTCCCTCTTCTCAAAGAGCAAATATGACATTAATAGTTTTTTTATACATTCCTTGTTGTTCCAGATCCAGATTCCACTATGAATGTTTCCCATGAATTAGCTGTGCTTGCATGCATTAAAAAAGCAGGTAGCCATTCACACTCTTGACTATAGCTAACACTACCTGTCACATTAGATCAGAGGGTATAAAAGTATGGTCTAAGGGAAAGCAAACAAGTAGTCGTCACATGGCTAAAAACAGTACTTTGCAATCAGATCTCACTGTGCAAGGATAAATCCATTAGTGTGTGTTAAATGAACCAGTAACCCTCCACTCCCTTGTATAGAAGGGGGTAAAATTGTAGGTGTGATATAAAAATTGACATCCCTGTAGTTCAAAATCAATTGGAGTCATGCAACCTCCTTTTTTTCTGCCACTGTGAAGCATCTGGAGTAGAAGCTGTCCTGTTACGGATGTAATGGGTCATGGATAATTACTCCCTTTGCTAGGAAACGACGAACTTCTGACCGCAGTGCAGAAAACAAAGAGGTGGTAAGGACAATGCACAAAAACTGAATGATATTGAAAATTATCTTGTAGCCTTTCTGGATGATGGTAAAGACCCTACTGTCAGATAGTATTGCCTTCCACATGGGAAGGAAAAGGGAAAGACAGGTTTCCTTACCTGTAACTGTTGTTCTTCCAGTGGTCATCTGTGCATTCACACATATGGGCTCCTTGCGCATGCATGGAGCAGTTTTTCCAAAGCTGATTAATTAGTATTTGGCGGGAGCTTAAGGGCGGTTAGCATAAGGGTGGGGCTCCCACTGAGACCTCAGTTCAAGCTGAGACCGCTATCATCATTGAGTCATTGACACAGAATAACCCACGTTTCAAGATAGAGGCACCAGAGGGGATGGCGGGTAGGTTTGTGTGAATGCACAGATGACCACTTGAAGTACATCTGTTACAGGTAAGGAAACCTGTCTTTATTCTTCGTAGTCTCTGTGCATCACACATATGGGTGACTGATGAGCTTACCTCAAGGAGGAGGTCGCACAGTGAAGTAAAGCGGAGAGGACGGATCTGCCAAAGGCGCAGTCCTCTCTTGATTTGACATTGAGGCAGTAGTGTCTAATAAAGGTCGACAGCTCTCCTGGGGACTCCATCTGGGCTGGATGATGGCCTGTCCACAATGAGCACCCCAACCACAGAGGGAGGTGTCTGTTACAACAGTGACTTGAGAATCCCAAGGGGAGAAAGGGACTCCAATAGCTGTATTGGTCCTTTCTGTCCACCAATATAAAGATTCTTGGATCCGTGGTGGAAGGTGGAGCATGGTATGGCATGGTATTGAGTCATCAGGTCGAAGGACGCCAGGAACCAGAGTTGGAGAGGCCTCATGAAGAGATGCACTAGCAACTGGGATTGCCACAGACATCAGTCTTAAAATGTGTTGGATTGATCTGGCAGTTGGCGAGGAGGTATCGATCAGAGATTGGACCTCTCTGGACATGGTGCACAGTCTGTCACAAGAGAGGAAAGCTTTTGCCAGTATGGACTTGAGTCTGGCTCCAATGAAGTCGATTGACTAAGAAGAAGAAAGGTGAGATTTAGTTGTATTAATGTAAAGTCCAAACCTGGAAAGGAGGGAGCAAGTAAGCTTCGTTGCTTTAAAGGAAGCTTCACATGAGTGAGCTACAATAAGCCGGTCATCGCGGTAGGGATACACATGAATACTAGAGAGGCAGAGAAAAGCACACACCACTGACATACATTTAGTAAATACCCTGGGTGCTGTTGCTAACCCAAAGGGGAGAACTGTAAAATGGAAAACATTGTTATTTATCTGGATGCAGAGGAAGCATCTATAGGATTCCTCAATTATAATATGAAAGTAGGCATCTTTTAAGTCAACTGATGTGACCCATGCACCTTCAGAGAGTAGCAGTAGGTGGTAGGGGTTCTAGATTGATAGGAAGAGCTGTGCCACTTACGTGAGGCGTATTGCCTTTGGAGGGTTGGTTGATTAAGCCCCATACAGTGTGCAGTTTTTCTGGCCTTTAGAACCGAGTTCATTCGGTCATCCGTGGCCAGCGCCATCAAATGGCATATCTTCAATCCATGCCTTGGCTTTGCCTGACAAGCCAGAAGATCAAAGCCACGCAAAGCGGCGGAGACCTATTGCTCTCACCATATTGCGAGCACCACCCTCAACCCGGTGTCACACTGTGATGATCTCCTGTCTGGCCAAGTGAGTAGCCTCATTTTTACTCTCATTCACCAGGTCTTGGGTGTCTTTTGGCAGCAAGGAGCCTAGGGATGCCATTCTGTCCCAACCATAAGACGATATCTGGCCATGGTAGCTTGGTAAATGGCCATTTTTATGGACAGAGCTGATGAGGAATAGAAGCAGCAACCAATAGCATCAAGGTGCCTGCCTTCTTTGTCAGACAGAGTGGTGTGCTCCCTTCTGGAGTGTGACTGGGGAGACTCTACAATGATAGAGTTTGGCCAAAGGTGTTGGAATACAAATTTGGCGTCTTTCTCTTGGACCCGATACATATTCTATAGGTGGCGAGGTGCTGAGGCCATGGATGCCGAGGATCTCCATTCATGATGGGTTGCATCCAGCAGAGTTGGCAGTAGCAGAATGGTAACAGGTCCAGCGGACTCTGTGTAAATAACCTCAAAGACCAGGTCCTTGGCTCTAAAGGGTTCTAGCCTAGGGTTAAGTCCTAGACTGTGAGCCACTTGGAGGACTTGGGATGAGAAAAATCCAGTGTCCTCACGTGGTCAGGATGGGTCAGAAAAAGTTGCCATAAGACCTGGCAATGTATCAGACTGCTGGAGAAGATGCCATCAAAACCGAAGTGTATTGCCCTTGTTCAGAGAGATGTTCTGTTCTATCTGTATGATGGCTGAGCAAGGAGGACGGAGGTCATCTATCCGTGAACCATAATAAATTGGCAGGGTCTCGAGCAGGTTGTTGTAGTGCACCGTGAGAGCTAGGACCAGGCAAGGGATCATGTTCCGAGCCCGATGGGCTCCAGTGTGATCCTTATCTTGAAATGATGATCCCCACTGTTCCACACAGAATTCAAAATTGAAATCCCCTTGCCGTCTTGGGAGAGATTGATGTGTCTTATAAGGCGTCTGAGCCAGGGGTGATCAAGAGCACTGTCAGTTCTTTATCAGGTTGGAGAAATATGGTTGGTACCGAGGGTGATGGAGAGGGTCCTCTCTGTACCAAAGGGTGAGTTGGCTGAGGCAGCTGAACTGGCGACTCCTGGATTTCTCCTTCAGATACCAAAGTGCTCCATGGAAGTTGAAATGGCTCTAGGGATTGTCCCGGGTTCTTCTGGCTTTGGGGCAGCGCCAAGTCTTCAGTACACAGGAGGCTGCTAGGTACCTACAACTCGGAGCACGTATGGGCGCTTTTTGCACTCCCCTTCTCTTTAATAAGGGTGAGCAATTTTGGTGGCTTTGCTTTCTTTTCTGCCTTCTTTTGTTCCTCCACCTTAGGCATTTTTGCCAGTGGAGGAGGTGAGCCATCTGGGTTTTGAGCTGAAGCCGCCGAGGTAGATGGCTGAAGGTCTTCAGCATGCAAGGCATGGCTCCAAGGTTCCACTTTTAAATGGTCAGCCCGATGTTTCCTTGCCTGCTTCGTAAAAGCTTGGCAGTGATAACAAGACTTGATGACATGAGACTCTCCCAAGCAGAAAGACAAAGGGAATGATCATCCGTCGGAGGGAGTTTGCTACCGCATGTGGTGCAGTTGCAGAAAGCACCTTTGAATGCCATTTGTCTGGCTGACAAGGTTCAACGAAAAAACTCAGGGGTAACCACTGTAGGATGCAATTAGCCTGTCTGTCTGTCTTTCTTTGAGCAATAGGGAGAAGACAGAGAGAAAAGAAAACCTGACCCATAGGGAGTTATCACATGTAACTTGTGAGGTAAGTTGGAGATGAACTTCCCAATGCGCTCACGATGGCGGTTGAAGAAAAGCTGAGGTCTCAGTGGGAGCCCCGCCCTCATGCCAGCCACACTGGGGGCCGGGCTCCCACCAAATACTAATTAATCAGCTTTGGAAACTTCCTGAAAAACCGCTGTACGCATGCACGAAGAGCCCATATGTGTGATGCAGAGACTACAAAGAATAACAATGAATTCCAAGGACAGGATGATATAAGAGGGATGAAGCAGAGTGGAGGAGTCAAATAAAACTTGAGTAAGCAGAATATAGTTCTTTTTATGGTTAAAACAAAATTGAGCAGCAGTATACTGATGTTTAGGCATAGAAGTGCCTGTTCTCTGATAGACAGTCCACTTGGCTGTAATATGGATAAAAGTTAAATTGCCTGGACCACATACGTGGCCTTTAAGGAATAGGAAGCTATTTGATACCCATCTTCCTTGCATTAGTTTGGCTTTCTGAACAGAGTCCATTGCTTCATCTGTTTTGTTGAAGGCCATCTCAATCAAAAAAGGCCATCTCAATCAAATGGAAGGTCTACTATGTAGGGGCAAGCCTCTTGCAACAGTCCTGCTGACCTAAACTAGGCAAGACACAAGTAATCCTACCATACCATGACTTCTGTGTTGCAGTCTGCCTAGTGTAGCCATATTGATTTGTTGGTAGGAAAGGTGAGTTGCTTCAGATTTAAGAAATTGTAAGTAATTCCCTCCAATGGTCAGGTAGGTAGTCACACAGGGAACTCATCTCTTTCAGAAAATGCTAGTATTGAAACATGGCAGTGTGGGACTTAGAAATACAGAATTCAAGGACCAATCTAGTCTGCGACCTT